TTTTCCCCATTCAAAACTATACGAGTGACACGTCTTGGGTATTCTGTAGTCTTTGCAATAATCCACAAGTAATCCACACCACGCCAGTCCATCAATTAACATCTTGTGAAACGAAAAGCTGTGTGTTTGTAAGAAACAAACACATCATTAAGGCATTTTTAAACTTTAAACTTTAAACTTTAAACGGTCAATTCTGGACAAAATATGAGTCCATAATAACAGTAACACAAAATAACACAAAATCCACCTCCATATTTGTTTAGAACTGTTTTGGATTGTTTTTGCTTGTAAACAGTGCTTTATCTGTGCATATTTCTCTCCCGATTCAGATGAGACGACTTTTTCACTGGAGGAAACATTATTATGGTTAGAGTACTTGTATTTTAGCCGGAAGCAGTGGTTTAAAGTTAAACACATCCTAATGATGGATTTGTTTCCTATAAACACACAGCTTTTCACTTCACAAGAATTAATTGATGGACTGGAGTTGTCTGGATTACTTGTGGATTATTGTGATGTTTTTATCAGCTGTTTGAACTCTCATTCTGACGGCACCCATTCACTGCAGAGGATCCACTGGTGAGCAAGTGATCTAAGGCTACATTTCTTGATAAGTTTCTTCATCGGAAAAAGGTCCTGATGAAGAAACATACTCTTCTAAAACTTGGATGACCAGAGGGTGAGTACATTTTCAGCAAATTTTTTTCGTTGTGAACTCGAACTAGATTTGGTGAGCATAAAAGACCTTTCAAAAACATCTAAATTATTATTAAGTGTAAAAATATTTTTGTTGAAACTGGATATGTGAATATTTGTGGGGTTTGTATTTGTGTGTATTTAGTAATGACTGTGTATATGTGTGTAGAATCCGCTTGCAGAGCAGGAAGGTCCCTCCACTGGCTCTATGTCCAGTTTTGAGCTGATGAGCTCTAAAGATCTGGCCTTCCAGATGACCCAATATGATTGGGAGCTTTTCAGCTGTGTACATGAGGTAAAGATGCACATACAGTGATACACACACACACACACACACACAACTGACATTTTTAACCTACAAAAAGTGTTTGACTGTGTGTGTGTGTGTGTGTGTGTGTGTGTGTGCAGTATGAGCTGGTCTATCATACGTTTGGACGGCAGGCGTACAGACGCTCTACACCAAATCTGGAGCTGTTTCTGAAGCGCTTTAATCAAGTGCAGCTGTGGGTGGTCACAGAGGTCTGTCTGTGCGGGACGCTCAGCAAACGGGTACAGCTACTCAAGAAGTTCATCAAGATTGCCGCCCAGTGAGTTCTCCAGCACACATATATAAATTCACCAGAACTCACATGAATTTGCACTGGATTCGATGCATTGTGTGTTATATTGAATTGATAAGCACTTGATATATGTGTGCTGTGCATTTATTCCCTCAGCTGTAGAGAGTTTAAGAATCTAAACTCTTTCTTCGCCATTATTATGGGCATGTGCAACCCAGCCGTCAGCAGACTCAGCCAGACATGGGAGGTCAGTGCCATATCACAACTAATATATAATAAGTCTGTTTTAAAACATGTGCCATATTTTTAGAAATATAGTCTTTGTTTTCATGTTGGTTTTATTTTCGGAAAAGTGTTTAAAACCATTTTAAACTAAATCTTTAAAATCCTTAATAAAAATGTCAAGTGCAGTATGTCAAAAAATTGCATAAAAAGGTCAAATTAGCAGATTTTTAGAAGACTTGACATGTCTGCATAAAAATAATGAAATAATATGGCACTAAATGTTTTTGTTTTTGTTTTTAATTTCAATATTTTTTTTTTAAGATTTTTATTAAACTATCAAGACAATTTGGACTTTAATGGGTTTAACATAAACCATACAAAAGGTTTATTCAAGTCATTGCAATTTTTAAATAGATGAAATAAATATGCATATGTTAATAATATGGGCACATGCATATTATTTTTTCTTTTTTTTTTTAGAAACTGCCTAGTAAATTCAAGAAGTTCTACGCAGAGTTTGAGAGTTTACTAGTGAGTCTATTTCAAACTTTTTAAATTCTAGCTCTCTTTCTATAAAGTTATTATTTTGTGATTGAAACTCATTGCTCATTGATTTATGTGTTGCTGTCAGGATCCATCCAGGAATCACCGTGCATACCGCCTCACTGTGGCTAAGATGGAGCCGCCAATCATTCCCTTTATGCCCCTCCTCATTAAAGGTGTGGGCGGGGCCTAGCCCCAATATTCTTAATATTAAGTACTGGTTGTCACAAAGTTCTTTTCTACAGCATGAAATATTTCTTCTATTTCAGACATGACATTCACTCATGAGGGGAATAAAACTTTTATTGATGGACTGGTGAACTTTGAGAAGATGGTGAGTATATATTTTATTTCAGCTGTATTTCAATTAATGGAAATGATTTTTAATTGTTTGAGTTATCGATAACAACACTGAATCTGTGACTTATCTGCACCACTATCTTACCGGCTAGAACATATATATTTACACTTTATTCTCTCCTCAGCGGCTGATCGCTAACACAATCCGGGCGGTGAGGCACTGCAGGAGCCAGCTGTTCAGTGAGTCATCTACACTCTAATTCTTTGCGTCCCTAATTAATTTCTCATGATCTGCCCGTTTGTGCTGCCTAGTTAAAAAAGCTACATCCCAAAGTTCAGTCAGTCATATCATATTCATAACAATCTGAGGTTAGATAATCAGGAAAACATAACTGGCCATGTCTAGAGGTAAAAGAGCATGAATGGGCTTTAAATCACATCAATTGTAAAAATGTCTAAATGTATGTATAAAAAATATTGTAAATAAAATCTCATAAAATTTATAGTAAAAAAACTGGCAGCTGTGGCTGCCAGAAATTCAAAATTTTGTGACAGTGTTTCTAGGCAAAAATGGCGTACTGGTAACCTGTATATTTTACAAATTATAACTGTATATTTCATTAATTGATATAATGTTTTATACCAAAATCTGCTTTTTACCTTAAAATGTACTGATAAATACCATAATAAAACAGGTGCACTAAAAAAAAAGCCATGTGATGAACTAGTTCATCGTGATTGGTTTGTCCATAAAACATAACCAATACTCATATAAATGATGCATAGACACAAAAACAAAGCGCCATCAGGGTAACACACATGCCACTAAAATAATGCAATAAACATTACCTAAATAATATGAAATGTAACATAAATCTCCTAATGAACATTACTAATAACATAAATAGAAAAGAAACAAAACTATTTGATTAAAATGTAATTATACAGCATGAGATATGCCATGCAGGGACACAGTTTTCACTCAGTTTTCTGCAATTGGTGTCATCTAGAAAATAAAAAAGGGTTATTTAGTATTCAGTATTGTGTAATTTTGTATACCCAGTCCGTTCAAATAATTATTAAAGAGAAAAAAATAGCAGCTTTAATCACAACAGGTTCATTTGTAAAAGGTCAAGTCAAGCACATTTCATTGTGGTTTACAATATTCCACACAGTGAACTGGTACTGGAAGCACTGGTTGTTTTAACACTGTTCCCACCTCCATCAGATGCTGAGGTGTCTCCGGCTAGCAAGAACCCACAGGAAGTGAGGAATTACGTGCGTCAATTGAATGTGATTGACAACCAGAGAACCTTATCCCAGCTGTCCTTCAGACTGGAGCCGAGGCGGAGCTAAAAACCAATGCTCAGACTTTTTCTCTTGCTTTTCCCTCTCTCTTTCTCTTTGAAATACAACCACTGTATATCCAGTTTACAACACTACAACTCAATTTCACATCTATCAGCTGCTAGAGAAGCTGAATGCTGACTGTATGTGCTATCACTGCCAACTGAACTACATGTGCAAGATGCATTCTCATATGTATGATTGTTTGTGTGCGTGTGTGTGAGTTGCATGTTAATGCCTTTAGTCATAAAAGCTACCTTGGTTGACAGTGTGTGTGTGTGTGTTTGTGTGTGTGTGTGTGTGCGTGTTTTTGTGACAAATGAGGACATACATTTGTGTAATGACAAGGGTATAACATAGGTATTACAAGGAGAAGGTGACTTTTCAGGACATTACCCCATGTCCCCACTTTCTTTAACGCATATAAATCACACAGAATGGAGTGTATTGAAAATCTGAAATAGCACAAAGTTTCCTGTGAGGGGTAGGTTTAGGGGTAGGGTTGGTGTAGGGCAATAGAATATACGGTCTGTACAGTAGAAAAACCATAACGCCTATGGGATGTCCCCACTTTTCACAAAAACAAACCTGTGTGTGTGTGTGTGTGTGTGCGTGTAAGCAGAATGCACTTGGTAAAAGTATTCATCTGTCATGTGAGGCTCTAGTTCATTCCCATGATACAACAGTGTAAACCTGCTGCCTGTGCTCAAGCCTGCATTTCTATGATCCTATGAAACATTCAGAACAATCGTAAAAATAAGAGTTTAGTGCAAGCTACATATCATGCATACAAATAACAGTGAGACTATGATCATTTGCCAGCCACAGAAAATGAATTATTGGTCTCCGTAAAACCTTCCAGGCCTCAATGTCTTGTGGTATGTTGTTTTAAGTCATATAAATGAAAGTATTCTGGCTCAAGGACTTTTTTTTACCACTGGTTAAATTGTGTGCTAGTAACTTACCTCTCGCCATAGCCTGTAGCATTATTGATGTCATTTTGTACATTGAGTTTTATTTGTATATTTTTGGGTCGGACCCATTTTGCTAAGTTATCATAATCAGTCTGAGAAGGCCTTTGTTTGTTCTCATCCTGCCTTTTGGAAAGTGAGACGCTGTGTGTGTAGGGCACTTATTTTCTTTTAGGAAAATGTCTATGCCTACCTTGTACATAGTATAATCTAAATAAATGTATCATTGAACATTTGGTGTGATTGGACTTTTCACTCCAAACAAGTGTTTTCCTCTTGTTCCTCTGTTTTATTGCCTTTATGTCTTCTGTCTCTGCTCTGTTTTGCTCTTATTTGTTCTCTGGGACAATAAAGGCTTGGTTTACCCCAAATGAAAATCCTGTCATTTACTCACACTCATATGTTTCAAAACCTGTATAAATGTATTTCATAAGAGGAACACAAAAAGAGGTAAATGAGTTACTTTCATTTTTGGGTAAACTAATGCTTTTATATTTTACGCCTAACTGAACAATATTCAAATATTATATTGAAATGATAAATTGAATAGACTCTTTATTGCAGTAAGACTGAACTGGATATATATACAGACATACATGAATCAATGTGCAAATGTACAAGTATGCACTAGCTGTGTGCTTGTATACAAGAATGCATTACTGTTTGCAATAAACAGTACAATACAAAATATATATATATATTAATACCATACGAAACATCCAATACAGTATTGCAACTGGTAAGTACAGATAAATAAATGAGATTTCAATGCAGTATTTAAACATTTTCAAGGCTTAGATGATACTTATGTGCATGTAAATATGCGTCATAAATATGTATTATTTTATATTATTTTTCAATACATTTCTAACTCTCTGAATGTACATAAACTGATACATTTAGTGTTTAATTATTTAATGAATATAAGTAGTAACAAAAATGTATTTATCTATTTACTTACTTTTTAAACCCTTTCATTGCCTGTCTGTATCCGTGTAGAGGCGCTATTGTCATTGTCCTTAAATTTGTAACATCGTAATCTGTGCTCAAGGATCGATTTATTCTATTACGCCGAATGCTTGGCTAATGAATATTAATTACGTAGCACTACGTCTAGCTCATTGGCTGAAACGTTGCCGCTAATAGGTGGGCGCTAATCTGACGAATAAACGAATCTTATCTTGGCGCAGGGGTTTGAATCATGAATATTAATTAGGTGACGTATAGAACGCTCTCGTTTGGTTACCGCTTAACGTCTGTTTGTCGTAATTAATATTCATAAACCAAGCCTTTACCGTAGTAGGATTCATAATTTGTCCGGCGGTCCCAAGCGAGTGTCCTCTTATGGAAGTGCGGTAACACGAGACAATGAGGCTCCGCATATTATCTTATGACTGGGATTGTTCAGAGAGCGACAGGCAAACGCGTTTCACCGGACCGCACGGAAAACACGACTAACAGGTAGGAAACCATGATTTTTAAATGTTAATCAGAACACACATTATGCTATGTATGTGTTAATAGTAACATTATTTGCTATATCATTGCGTGGGATGAGTTTTAACTCTGCAGCTGATCTTGTGCTTGGCGACTTCAGGAGAGTGAGACATAATGTTTGTCATTTATGTTTTTGCGTTACAGAATCTTCATAAGTATTCCAAAAAAAAGTACTACACGTTGTCCAAAAGTATTCTGAAGTATTCCAAACTCTTCCAAAGTTTTTAACCTGAAATGGAGGGGACTTAAAAATATTAACAAACCATAAAGAACAACAATGTTTACAAATTCCTTTACAAAGAACATTGTGCACATATATGGACACGTGATGTGGAAATACTACAAATGAATGATTTAACTTAAAACGTAATATTTCCTATGGCCTCCTATTTGCTGTTTATTTACACAATTAGCAATGATAGATATGTTAGGGTGTTTTTTGGCAATGAATCAAGTCAGAGGTATGAATGAGCTGTTTCTGGTTAAGTATAGTTGAACGTGTGACACAATTGCCTCCTGTTGGCCCCTGATATCACAGCCAACGGGCCCCAGTGATGATATGCGGGTTGTTTTTAGAGACTGAGCGCTCTTTATGGGATAGACTGTGTACGGGACATAGGTTGGTCACTCTAAACCAGGGAAGTCAATCTGAAGTGAGGTCATAGATTTGAGGGAAGAGTGACGCATGTGCTAGTAATGTATAAGAAACCAGACCCCATTAACACCAACTACAACAGCATCAGCGTTTACTACATTAGAGGTGAAAGCTAACATGAGCCTGGGCTGAAAGTGAAGTACTCAAAAGTGCACTCTTGGATTTGGAAATACTGGCAAACTCAACTTGTGTTTGTTGCGACCAGTTGCGTCACACTTAATGGTTAGTTGACATGACAGTATGGTTAGTTGATGTCAAGCAGTAACAGCAATGTCCTGCAGTGTGAGTTAGTTATACTTCATTTATAACAACATTTTTCTAATTCTTGTACATGCATTTTCATCTGTCTCATTGAGAGACGAGGGGGAAAAAAAAAAAAAAAAAAATATATTAGAATAAAAATACATTTGTCACACGGAAGGACTTTTAAGTAAATTGTATAAAGCTAATACACACTTAATGTTTTTTCTGAACAGTTCCAGTTTAGTGTTCTTCGGTTTGTGACAATGAACCCTTTTTGGTCCTGAACCCTTTTTATAAAATTCCATAAAGAACCATGATTTGAAAGTAAAACTTATTGGTGAACCTTAATGGTGTTATAAAGAACATTTTTGATCATAGTTTATTTTTAACAATTTTTGTTGATAGAAAAAGATTTTTCTGAGTTGTAAATAAAGATTACTGGAGTAAATTTTTACAAAAAACGATATCTTTCTAATTCAAAATATCTTGTTTAATTCAATGTGTGTACTTGCCATTTCACAATTAATTGTGAAATTTCATTACATTTTCTGTTTTGAAGTAAATCCTACAAGCCTACACCATATTTTTTTAGTATATATATATCATGCACACAAGCAATCATACTTACATCTTTTGCTTGGCAAACTATGAAACAGTGAAGAAGTCCCACAGACTTCCATTGATTGGAATGTTTGAACTCTAAAGCCCTCATGACCTCAGCCATATCTAGGTGGCAGAAAATGCTAGAGACATAAGGGTGGGCTCTTTTGAGGCAGTGTACAGAACCCCGTGCGGGGCCTCCAGCCATATCGGAATATAATAGAGACCTGGGAAATCATGGAAAAATAATCAGGCCAACTCCAACATTGTGACAACACGTTCTGGACAAGCAAGAGACAGGTTATAAATATCCGGCTTATTGACGAGTTCTTCATGGCTCCGGCTGTAAGCGCAAACAAGCACTTTAACAAGTGTACAGTCATATCAGTGCTGAACTTTGTTTATTCCTCTGCGCCCAGTTCAATAAACCATAATTAGTTCATAATTAAAAACAGATGGTTACGTTTTCCCTAAGTATTATGATCTCTCCTGCTGTATATTTAAAAGCTGTTTTTTTTACTATTTTGTGTAAACAGAAATTTCTAATCTCTATTTGAACAGCAATCCAAAACTTTATAGTTGTTGTTTACCCCCCTCTCTCACTTTTGTCTATGACTGTGTTTTCATAATGCCTGTAAAATAAGACTGAGGTTTAGTGTAGACAAAAGTGGCAGGAGTCCAATTACAGATGTAGCAGAGAAGACCGAAGGCAAATACATGGCAAGTTGTTCTGCAGTTATGTGAACATGGTAAAGGATCACACTGTAAATCACACGCAGGGAGCAGACATTTCACACAGACCTCCGCTCAACACAACTCCTCTCATGCTCTGATTGCATAGGAACCATCGTAATTCATCATTCTTACAGCAGGTTTCTATGCATGACTGTGTAGCATTCTGCTTTAGAGATGTTTCAAATCTTTCTACATAACAGAGTGCTGCAGGAATGAGCCCTAAAGCTTGGAAACAAGTTATCAGTTTTACACTTCTGGTTCCATCATTCCGAAGTCAATGGGTTGATTTTATCAATGGGTCATTGGGTGGTTAAATGCCTGAAATAAAGTTTGTGGTTAACAAAAGCTCAGGATATTTTCACGTTTTATATTCTACAACATTAAAATACAACAGTAATACCCGACTTTTGATTTTTATAAGCTTTTACTTGTTTTCAAAAAGGCAGAGGTTGTCGGGGACATTAAAGGCAGAGTAAGTGATTTTTCAAAAACACTTTAGAAAACTGATTCGGGCCGAATCGCAAAACAAACTTGTAGCCAATCAGCAATAAGGGGCGTGTCTACTCGTGATGTGGAGGAGAGCGCG